CTTTTGGCTCGGTGGTGGAGTTATCTCCGGGGTTCACCATTCGGCTTGGGAGTGGACAGCCCCGTAGGGCCAAATGAGACTGGCAAGGTATAGTAATCCAGTGGCAGGAGCAGGAAGGCAGAGGGGGACAAGGAAGCTGGTGATAGGAAACCCAAGGTTGAGTAAGGATATTGTTGATGTGTTGTGAGATTGTTGACCATTGTCAGGGGGCAACATTTGTAGTAACTGTTGGATGAGAAGCTATTTTGTTCTGTGGGCCTTCATCTTGGGTGAGAGTGGCAGCGCAATTGGAGGGGCGTGGTCGATGTCACTGAGCTGTGAATGTAGAGGTTTTTGGGGTGGTGTGTGTTTGGCTATGTGTATTTTCACCAAGAAAGGGGGTTGAGAGGTTAGAGGGTTGGTATGTTGTGGGGTTGTTGACCAATGTCATGGAACAGTGTGTGTGCTGCTGTTTTATGGGAAACTATTTGTTCTGTGGGCCTTCACCTGAGGTGCAATAAAAAAGAAAAAAGAAAAAAGCTTCCATAACCCAAAGAAGCTTAAAACTGAAACAAATGAAAAAGATCAAGGAGTACTGTCATAGACTGAATAGTGTTGCTCAAAAATATGTGCATCAATTTGGGTAGGCCATGATTCCCAATATTGTGTGATTGTCCACAATTTTATAATCTGGTGTGATTTCCTGTGTGTTATAAATCCTACCTCTATGATGTTGATGAGATGGAATAGGTGACAGTTTCGTTAATGAGGTATGACTCAATCTACAAGATTGGATCGTGTCTTGAGGCAATCTCTTTTGAGATATAAAGAGAGAAGCGAGCAGAGAGACTGGGGGTACTTCATACCACCAAGAAAGCAGTGCCAGGAGCAAAGCACATCCTTTGGACCCAGGGTTCCTGCTCAGAGAAGCTCCTAGTCCAGGGGAAGATTAAGGAGAAGGACCTTCCTCCAGAGCCAACAGAGAGAGAAAGCCTTCCCCTGGAGCAGACACCCTGAATTTGGACTTCTAGCCTATTAGACCTTGAGAAAATAAATTTCTCTTTGTTAAAGCCATCCACTTGTGGTATTTCTGTTATAGCAGCACTAGATAACTAAGACTAGTACCTAGATCTACAGGGCTCAGAGATGTCACCTGCAGTTCATAAAATACTTTAATGAGTCATTTCAGCAAAATAAATTATGTCAGTGTTTTTGCTGACGTCTCCTAGTTTTGGAATGGTTTAGGATTTTTTTTCCATTTTATAGTGCATTCTTCTTGTCAACCAACTCCATAATTATATTATTGCAAATTACCTACTTTCAGACTTAAAATTTCTTGTCTAAGAAATTACTCAGCCTTCTTAATTTCCCTTGTTTATTTCAGTGTAATCCCACTGACTGCTCAGTTTCCTAGTAGGGGCATGTCTCATTCCAGCTTGGGGTTGGGGGCATGTCTGTAACGGACACTCAGCTTACTGTCAGGTCCCTGAATCACTTGCTGCCCAGACAGTCACAGCAGTGATTCAATTTGAATGAGCTATTCAACAGCACCATACTCTAGGCTAGTTATAGAACACAGGTCTCCTTACCTAAGGCCAGGAACAAAACTGGCATAAAATTCAAGTCTGTCTCCACCGGTTGGGGGGGGGGGACAAAAATTAAAGGAAATCCTTCCCCCTGCCCTTCCACTGAAAAATAATGCCTGGGAAAACAGGACTCCCCAGGGTTATTGGGTATCTCCCCCAGAATGAGGCTGCTTGAGTATTTATGTTCCCCACCACCATCTCCGCCAAAATGTAAGCTCCATGAAGGTGTGGATTTTTGTCTCTTCCACTCACTGTTTGATCACCAGGGACTGAAATAGCTCCAGGGAAATACAATGTATGCTATACGTTAAGTGATGAACTGGATGAATGGATTGACTGAATAAAAGAATGAATTTGTCTATGAAAACCCATGAGAATTTAAATAAAGTTGCTTCCCTTCCATGTACTTCACCATTTATGTATGGTTGCTTCTCTCACAATCACAAGGAACAAAAACCTTTGCCATGCTATTCTTTCTGTCTCTCCAATACTATTTCCTCTTCAAGTCCAGCTAAAACCCCAACCCTCCTCTGAGCCCTTCACTGAGTTCAGACTTGCTCCAACTCCCTATAGAATATATCTATACCATTAATTCATCAACATGTGGTAACCATATGGTATATTGCAATGTTATAAAAACATAGAGGACACTAAAGAAATACAAGACAAGGTCCCAGGAACTCTCTATCTAGTTCAAGAGAAACATGTTGTTGTTGTTAGATGCTGTTGAGTCGATTATGACTCATAGTGACCCTATGTACAACAAGAACAAAACACTGCCCGGTCCTGCGCCATCCTCATGATCATTGTTATGTTTTAGCCCATACAGCCATGAAATTATGAAGCAGCTATAAAAGATAATATTTGATCTAATGACAAAATGAGTAAGGCAGACCCTAAAAAATGTTATAACCAAAAAAACCTATCGCCATCAAGTCAATTCCGACCCATAGTGACCCTATATGACAGAGTAGAACTGCCCCATTGAGTTTCCAAGGCTGTAATCTTTACAGAAGCAGACTGCCACATCTTTTTCCCCTGGAGTGCCTGGTGGGTTCCAACCACTGACCTTTCAGTCAGCAGCTGAGCACTTAACCACTGTGCCACCAGCGCTACTTCAAAAGAAGTGCTATAGGTAGTTAAAAATACGTATCTCTTTAACTTTATCTCTCACTGCTACCCACCAACCCTCATTTTGTTCCAGTGATAGAGACAATAACTCTTCAAATCTTGACTCTTGCTCTGCCTGGGTGTTCTCCTTGCATTCTTTTTTTTTTTTTTAATAATTTATTTTGCTTTTGCTGTTGGTGAAAATATACACAGCAGAACATACACCAATTCAACAATTTCTACGTATACATTTCAGTGACACTGATTACATTCTGCAAGTTGTGCAACCATTCTCACCCTCCCATTTCCAAGTTGTTCCTCCCCCACTAACACAAACTCACTGCCCTTTAAGTTTCCTATCTAATAGTTCGAGCTGCTGTTGTCAGTTTGATCCCATATAGATAGATCTTTAAAGAGCTCAGTGCTCAAGGCAGACATTCATTAACGTTTCTTTTTATTCTCCAAAATCCAGCTCAAGGGTCACCTCCTCTGTCAAGTCTTCCCTGACCTTCTGCCCTTGACAAAATTAACCACTCCCTCCTTCATACCTGTGTATACTCCTAATTATTGCATTTGCCACTCATGTAATTATTTGCTAACTTTTGCGTTTCTCCTCCTAGACAGTGTATTCCACACTCCTAGCACAGTATCTGACGTGTAGCAAAAGTTGACTGCGTAAGTGAATCGAATAGTTAGAGAACATTTAGGGAAAGCCTCATCATGTCAGACAATTTTCCATTTAACAGACACTCCATACTTTAAAGAAACCAAACCTAAGACAGCCTTCCATGGGACATCCTGGCATGACACAGATTTATCATTTGTTCTTTTTCTCAAAAACTGTTGAACAGACACTCACCTCTCCTTATAAATACATCATTAAAAGAGATGGCATACCTCAAAAACTCCAAGCGAAGCACAGGCCACACTTAGCTATTTTTCTGTGTGTGTGTAAGAAACCTCAATGCATCCCCTGTGTTCTGCTTAGGTCGCAATATCTTTTCCCATTTCAAATAAAGCAGCCCATTCAACATTTCTGGAAAGTAATTTTACATTATTTGTTGAAATTTGAAATGTACCTATCTTTTAATACAGCACTTCTAGGAATAATGCTTACAGAAATGCTTCCGAGTGTACAAAAAAGAAAAGTATAAGGATGTTCATTGTACCATATTTTTTTAAAAAATATTTAGAGCACTTTTAGGTTTACAGAAAAAATTATGCAGAAAGTACAAAGTTTCCGTATGTCCTCTCTCCCCTCTGCATACAGTTTCTCCTGTTATTAGATTCTAATAAAAATTAGATTATTAAATTATATTCCATTTGTGTGGTATATTCGTTACAATTGATGAACCAATATTTACTATTATTAAGTAAAGTCCATAGTTTACATTAGGGTTCATTTTTAGGGTTGTACAGTCCTTTGGGTTTTGACAAATGCAATGTGTCCACATTTATAATATCATACAAAGTAGTTTCACTGCCCTAAAAAAAAAAAGAAAAGAAAATAAGCACTTTTAAGGCAGTGAAACTATGTTGTACCATTTAATAATCACAAAGTAATATGGAAATGAATTATTAAACATCCCTCAAGAGAAAAATATAATGTAACATAATATAACCATTAAATAAATGAAATAAATCTATATGTAAGTTGCAGAACAATATACCTAATGGCCTCATTTTTTAAAACTATATAGACAGCTATATATTTTTGTGTTTGATTTATATGCTCATTGTTGTTGTTTGTAGGTGCCATCAAGTCAGCTCCAACTCATAGAGACCTTATGTATAACAGAACAAAAATATACAGGTTAAAACAGGTACATATGGGAAATTGTTTGGGAAGGAGATGGAAGCGAAGACAGATTCCAATTTTTTTGTTTTCGACACTTTTTTTAATTATACAAGTCTTGCCTTCCTGAAATACCCTCCATTCAAATGGTAGACATTGGGTAATATGATGTCTGCATCTAATAACCCACCTAATGAAGTGTTGGGAAGTGAAAGAAACCAAATGATTTCACATTGGTAGCTAACTTCTGATTGGTCTCTCAGTTGCCAGTCTCCTGCAACTGAGTTTAAATTCCTTCTACGAACTATCACAAATCAAAGGATAATATTTTTCACCAGAGTAAACTGGAGAAATCGACTGGACTTTGAATATTACGTTTCCTGTACATTTTGTCTGCTGTACATAAAGGTAACATTAATTGATCATGTTTTAAGTAGAACATTCATTCTTTTTAAGTATCTTCTCTCAAAAAGGAAAAAAATGGAGTAAATAGTAACACTATTTTGTTGTTACAGGTAGCAATTTGAAACATGAAGACTATGATTCTACTGTTTTGTCTTCTAGGATCAACTCAGTCATTACCGGTAAGCACAGCAAGTTTATTTTATGTACCAACCAATTTAGCAGCACATCTACTGATAGACCTATCTCTATTCCTACCCTCTATCAAAACTCTTTCCTGTGATCCATTCCCTTAGTTTTCTGTTTTTATTTTCCAAGGTGGAAAATTATAAGCTAATTTATGTTACAGTCTTAATGCATATTTCAATGTATTCTCATTTTTAAAATGTGTCCACACTATCACGTAGAATTTCAATCATTTTGACAGAGCAGTAGGTAGAAATTCAGGAGAAAAGAAATGCCTTAGGTTGTATCTGCTCAAAGCCCTAGTAGACAATTATTCTATTTTCCAGGAAGAATTTAAGATTTTCTAGGCTACTAGTTATTTGTTTGTGGCTAAAGAGGTAAACTACATTTTCTGAATTTTCTGATTGCAAGAACAAAACATCTAGGTTTTATAAACTCTAAAAATGGTACCAAATTACACAATGCGAAGGGAATGTTAAAGTTCCCCAGCTGCTAACCAAAAGGTCAGCAGTTTGAACCCACCAGCCACTCAGCAGGAGAAAGATGTGGCAGTCTGCTTCCATAATGATTTTCAGCCTTGGAAACCCTATGGAGCAATTCTACTCTGTTCTATAGGGTCACTATGAGTCAGAATCGACTCAAAGGCAACAGAATGGGTTTAAGGGAATACAATAAAGTGGGGAACACTTTTGACTTAGAACATTTCATCACAAAATATGTTCACATATAACAGGCTTTTGAAAGAAGGAGCACTAGTGCTTAAACATATACACTCCCATGTCTTCCATTGTTTTATAGACAGAGATGGGTGCTTTGGAGCTCTAAGTGGGCTGCTCTTTGACTGTTTGAGATACTTAAGTGTGGACAACTGAGAAAAAAATTAGGCTGTATTTGATATGAAATAGCAGAACAAAAATATTCCATCCTTAGTTGAGCTTCCAGCTCACTTGACACTTTTATAGTCATTCGTACAATCAACAAATATCTACTGAAAACTCTCTGTATGCTAGACACTATGCTAACAGCTGAATATACAATGGTAAGCAAATAAAAAAATCAAAAAATAAACCATGATCCCTCATGGTGTTCAGAAGGAATATAGGTATTAATCAAATAATTTTTTAAATTGTTATTGTTAGGTGCTGTTGAGTCAGTTCTGACCCTACGTACAACAGAACGAAACACTGCCCGGTCCTGGGCCATCCTCACAATCATTGCTATGCTTGAGCCCACTGTTGCAGCCACTGGGTCAATCCATCTTGTTGAGGGTCTTCCTCTTTTTCACTGACCCTGTACTTTACCAAGCATGATGTCCTTCTGCAGGGACTGATCCCTCCTGATAACGTGTCCAAAGTACATGAGACAAAGTCTCACCATCCTCACTTCTAAGGAGCATTCTGGCTGTACTCTTTCCCAAACAGATTTGTTGGTCCTTCTGGCAGTTCATGGTATATTCAGTATTCTTCACCAACACCATAATTCAAAGGCATCAGTTCTTCGGTCTTCCGTATTCATTGCCCAGCTTTCACATGCATATGAGGCAATTGAAAATACCATGGCTTGGGTCAGGCGCTCCTTAGTCCTCAAAGTATCATCTTTGCTTTTCAACACTTTAAAGGTCTTTTAGAACAGATTTGGCCAATGCAATACGTCATCTGATTTCCTGACTGCTGCTTCCATGGGTATTGATTATGAATCCAAATAAAATGAAAAATTTTTTGTAGAAATGTTAAATTATAACTGATTAGTTCAATGCAGGAGGTAAACAGGGTGAGCTTGCAGGGGGTGGAGCAAGACATGAATAACCAACCTCTCTTATTTCACTCCAAATATGCACTTGTCTGACTTGAAAGAAGTTGTCTATAAAAATTTAACCTTCTAAATAAGTTAAATTAGGAAATTAATTTTTCCATAAAACATAATTTTTCACTTCACCAAATAAATTTATCAGAAGATTCTTTTAAATAGGATTTTGCTAGTGTTTTTAAATTAACAGGAAATTTCAAGATAAATAAAATTTTTCAGGAGCACAGTTATCATTCAAGGTGGACTGAGGAGTAGAGAGCAAGCTAATATAGATTGCTAACAGCCAGTAATGTGAGAGCGGCTAGATAGGTCGTAGGGGCAGGGGATGGGGGAGATGACACTAAAGTGCAATAGTTATAGGAACAATATTCATCAAATGAAAAATCAGATCACATGAGCAAGGTATTTTTTAATATTTGAAAACAAATTCATTGAATTATCATGAAGCCATAAAAAAAATCTATTTGTAAATGCAGACACATGTATCAGCCTAAAAATTGTTTTCAGTAGATCAGAAGTTTGGGGACAAGTTCCAGAAGGAGAATACTATGAGTAGAAAGAGAGAAAATATGTAAGACGAATCAAAGTCACAGGAAGTGGGTCTCTTAGAAGAAACTAGGATTTCATTCTTTCAACTAATATTCATTGAGTGCTTACTGCCCGCTAGGCACTAACATATCTGCTTGGGATGTATCAGTGAATAACACATGAGGTTTCTGCCCTTGTGAAGCTTGTATTTTAGCAAAGGAGACAAATGATAAATGTTATCATAAATCAGTAGGTCACCTAATAAGTTAGAGAGTGATGAGAGTTATGGAAAAAAGAACACGGAGCAGAACAAAGTGGACCAGGCTTGTAGAGGGAGTGACGTTGGTGATGAAGCAGGTTGCATATTCAGGAGTGGTCAGGGTAGGCCTCAATAAGAAGATGAATTTGAGCCAAGACTTGAAGCAGATGAGGGGGTGAGCCAACCAGATATCTGGGAAAAGAGCACTCAGGCAGAGGGAGCAGGTGAAGGGGAGGCCTGAGACAGGAGTAGGCTTGACCTGTCCTAGGAACAGCAAGGAGCCTGGACGGTTGCAGCAGAGTGAGCAAGAGGGAATGAGGTGAGGCAGAAGGTCAGAGAGGCACTGGAGGCCTAGTTCATGAAGGTCATTTTAAGGTCTTGTTTTTCCTCTGAGTGAAATGGGAAGTCAATGCAAGGATTAAGCAGAAGAGTGGCAAAATCAAACTTTTGCTTTCAAAGGTTCACCTGGCTGCTGTGCTAACAATAGATTATAGAGGGTGAAAAGACTTATTTAAAGGCTCTGTACTTACATAGGAACCCTGGTGGTACAGTGGTTAAGCTTTCAGCTGCTAACCAAAAGATCGGCAGTTCGAATCCATCAGCCACTCCCTGGAAACCCTGTGGGGCAGTTCTACTCTGTCCTATAGGGTCGCTATGAGTCAGAATCGACTTCATGGCAAAGGGTTTGGTTTGGGTTTTTTTATACTGACATAGTCTTAAAACTTAAAGGGACCTCCAAGCACAGATAATGTCAACCACTCTTTTTACAACTGAGGGAAAAAATCCGAAGTCAAACCAAGAGTCAGCAGCAGCGCCAAGGTAAATCCAAGGCGACCCAAGTACAGGTCCGGTGCTTGAGGCCCATGTCACACTACCCTCTGGGATAAGGTCAGGAGCAAAGGCCGACTGGGATCATCCTGTCCAGGATGCTTCTACCTGACTGCAGAGGGTGTGCTGAGAGACACAAATGGAAGAATTTGTTTCTTAAAGCCCAAGAGCACTTGCAGGGATTCTAGTACTGGCTCTGCTACTACTAACCATGTCACTTTGAGCAAGGCACTTTGCTTCTCTGGGCCTCAGTTTCCTCATCTATAAAACATAACCATACAACTAGACCATAACAATAGCAAGGACGTTTTCACCTAAAAAATTCTGTGATTCTTAACACACCAAGGAAATACCCTAGCCAAGAAGAGAACTGAACTTCCATTACAGGAAGTGACGTGTAAGGTATGAGGCAAAAGAAAATGCAATCAAAATTACAGCAATTTACCCTCAAGCATTAGATTAAAGCAAATGTGCACAGAGCTAAACTGCAGATTATATATTTTGTGTCCTGACAAAGGAGGACGGCAGTTACAGAAAAGAAAAGGGAACTGGAAAATACCACCAGAAATCCCATGTCGCCTGCCCCCACCCGATCCCCCTCCCTACCCTCCCCACCCTACCCCACCTGCTCTGCCATTTTTCTACTCCACAATTCCATCTCCTGTCATGCACAAAATGTTCCATTCCAACCAGGGAATTAAAAGTGTTCTAAAACACGGGGACCGTAAAGAGAGACATTTTTGCATTTGGTGACAACCTGTTAGCTCCTGGACTTAGGTGGATTCAAAACCTCAAACACAGTTCTGCTTCATCAAATATTTGTTACCACAGACGCAGCTCAACACAGCTTTGGGACCTCTTCCAGCAAAGCTTGTTCCGGATCAGGCAACACTGCTAAACCAACAGCAGCCAGATCAGGTAAGTGTCCTTTAACAGAGAACATTTACAAACCAGGAAAGAAAACATGTTAAGACTAATAGATTTAAAACCAAGATTTATACAGCCTCACGACTGAACGAGTGTGAGGCTTTCCGTCTGAGAGGAAAAATAAGAACCAAAGCTTTTTTTTTTTTCATTTTTGACTAGGAAAAGCAAACATTCTCATTCTTTTCTCTTTTGTCTGAAAAATAATTTGGTTTAGCAACCAAATTAAGTAAACTTTGAAAAGGAATAAGTACATCTATCTATAAAAGTTGGTCATCTATGCCCTTGACATATATATGATATCTGCCGGAGTTAACAAGGATTAAGAGGTGCCCTATACAAATAACTGCAGATTTCCTTATGTTTTTATTAGAATTTTGTTGTTGCTGATGAGCTATATGTTGTTGTAAAATCTGTTTCTTTGAAACATATTTAAATACTTTTGAAAACTGCATCTCTTGGCTACAAACCTTCTTCTCACGCCAACCATTCCTCTACCCAAAAGGACCTTCTCCTTACCTACATCGAGACTTTAGGAAATAGCATAATCAGATAATGCCAGAATCTAGAATTCTCTTTTTAGTTCTATGAATATTATAGAACACTCAAGTCAGGAGCCAGTCTTACTCTATAAGGGACGTGAAACTCATACAATTTGAAGCCCCTCTTTAAGAAAAAAAAATATAAAACTAAATATGTAAAATTAGGTCCTAAGTTGAATATTGGAGCCCTGGTAGTGTAGTGGTTAAGAGCTCAGCTGCTAACCAAAAGGTCAGCAGTTAGAATCCACCAGATGCTCGTTGGAAACCCTATGGGGCAGTTCTGCTTTGTCCTATAGGGATGCTATGAGTCAGAATCCACTCGACAGGAACAAGTTTGTTTTTTGGTTTTTTTTTTTTTTTTTTGGTTTAAGGAAGGTGAATATTTATTTACAGCGAGAAAACAAAATACAAAGTTTCTAAGCTGATAAATACCATAACTTGACACATTGCTAGGGTGCCTCCCAGGGCCTTGGAAGAGGACAATGCAAGTAGGATGCCCTGAAGCTTCATCTTTATTTACCTTCACTGTCAATTCCCCTCTGACTTGAGTATAGGTTAGTTGAGCATATCCACCTTTGACAGGTTAGAGGGCACAGACATCCTCTTCTCTCATACATCAGTTTCAATGCCCTACAGGTCTTCCCTTCTTTGAGTCTAATACCGCTGACCCAGCTGCTCACACCGGGGTCAGATCTGCAACTGGTAAGTACTCTTTTATATCATTTTCATATCCACTGTTAAACATAATACCTAATGTTGAGCATATATATACATACACACACACATATTCATTGTAGATAAGTTGAAAGAGAGAAGACAGCGGAAATTCAAGGAGAGTTGGATGTCAATCAGTACATTATAAAAAGATTTTCATAGAGAACCACCAAAGAAATTAATCTAGTTTCACGTCTTTACTTCTCTAATGCTTGTCTCTTCTCTGAGCTCCTCTCCCAACCCCACTGCAATAACTCTTCACTGCCCTCTACATCATTCACATACCCACAGCAACACTATGACTGACTCATCGCCCCAACAATAAGAACAAACTAGAAGGCATAGAAAGATCTTTAGTCTTCTCATAGAATCTCTGCATAGTTCAGTTTGTTTGAAGGAAAAAATAATAAGTTCCTTTCCTTGACAGAGTGGATTTTATTTCCAGTCATCTAGTCCATATTCCAGACCAGATATTTTATTCTGTCCCTCAGTTTTCATGGGGCTAACCATGAAGGAATTCAATTCTTCATAAGAGCACCATCAGAGAAATCCCAGGAGCTGTTGTTGTTATATCCAAAAGGAAAAAGTGAGAATAAAGTTACCTAAGTAATTTTCAAAGAGAATGGATTAAATAACAAAGAAAAACTTGATGTAGGGAAAATTATCCCTGGATGTTATGGCTGTATGTATTAGTACACTTCGTACTTCAACTCTATATCTAATCCATATGAAATAGGATTCTATGTATTTACATAGCAAAGTCTCCCTTTAAACATATTTTATATTTAGTAAATACATTTTAGCTTTCTGAATGTTCAAATTGAAAAAAATACAATAAAAATTTTCTTTATTGCCCAACAGCTAAATACTGCTACAGGGATGGCACCTGGTGCCCAGACCCTCCCACTGAACTTGGGGGGGTTGGCTGTACAACAGCAGCTGCAATCACAAGTAAGTTCAACAACTGGACATCAGATTAACATTAAGGAGCATTTTCTCTCAGGTAGAAGTCTAAAGGGAAGGAAGAATTTTTTTCAAGCTTCTTTTAAATTTTACCCAGATAAAATTGGATGTTCTACTGGAAGTAGAACAGTCTTTGGTAATTTTGTTCTTGCTGAAAATCTGTGAAAAAACACACCCAGAAAACAGAGCACGCTATCCCATAACCTCTCAATAATACATTTTTGAGGAGTAAGGAAAATGTGAAGAGTTGGGGGAAATTAAAAAGTGAGGAAGGTAAGGCGGGTAATTGAGAGGTATCATGATTCTTCTCTAGCCTATTCTGTTTTCTGTTGAAGACTTCCTGGATGACCATGATCATTCCAAAGAAAAATTATGAGGCTGATAATGTCTATCTTCAGCAAATCGAATCTTCCCTCTTTCTGTGCCCTTTTTCCATGCTTCCTCTCAAGTCTCCAAGGACTTTCTAGTTCTTTACCAACTCCCGTTATCACTTGCTTTCAGGAAAAACTCTGGAAAACCCACTTACACTAAGATGTAATTACATGCTTACAGCATTGCCCCTTTCAGAAGTGTATGTATTTTAACTATAAAATCCAAAATTTTACCTTCTTGAAACCTGTCCAAAACTTTATAGGCTCTGGAGAAAAATAAAATGATCCCTTTATGGCTAAACTAAGTACTTTTGGATAGCTCATTCTCCCCAGCACCCTCATACCCACATATTGGCCTGATTTTTCGTAGAAATGTTTTTGTTTGCTATTACATAAGTAATATATGTTAATTACAGAGACATTAGAAAATACAGATGAACAAAAAGAATAAAATAAAATCACCCATAATCCTACCACCCAGAATTAAACACTGTCAACATTCTAGGAAATGTCTTTCCAGTCTTTCTTCTATGCATTTTAAGTACATTTTTAAAAGAAAATATCTTCTTACCATGCATGATGTTCTAAACCAAATAAACCAAACCAATTGCCATTGAGCCAATTCTGACTCATAGTAACCCTATGAGTTGCAGGGTAGAACTGCATTCCATAGTGTTTTCAGGGAAATGATCTTTTGGAAGCAGATCACCAGGCCTTTCTTCCAAGGTGTCTCTGGATAGATTCAAACTGTCAATCTTTTGGTTAGTAGTCAAGTACTTAACCATTTGCACCACCCAGGAGCTCCATCTAATGTTCTAGAATGTGATTTTTTTTCTACTTAATACATTTTGAATAGTTTTTACTTTTTTAATATTCAATTATAACATCGTTTTAAATGATTGCTTAGTATTCCATCATCTTCTAAGCCCTCTATTGCTGAAAATTTAGGGTATTTTTCTTTGGGTCTATAAACAGTGAGATAGTGGATATCTTTATAACTCCTTAAAACTAAGTCAATGATCATCTTCATGATTATTCCTTAGGATCAATTCTTAGGAATAGAATTTCTGGGTCAAAAGGTACACAAAAGTGTAAGACTTTTAATACATAGTCTGAAATTATGAGGCATGAATATATCCCAACCTTTTGCCTGTCACTAGGGATACCACAGAAACCCTGGTGGTGCAGTGATTAAGAGCTACAGCTGCTAATCAAAAGGACGGCAATTCGAATTCACCAGGCGCTCCTTGGAAACCGTACGGGGCAGTTCTACTGTGTCCTGTAGGGTCACTATGAGTCGGAATTGACTCAATGGCAATGGGTTTGGTTGTTTGGTTTTTTAGGGATACCACCAGGTTTCAATAAGAGCAAGCTTGTATCAGTTAGTAATTATAATCAAAGCTGAGTTTAATTACAATATAATGTTAATTAAATTGTACATCACAAATAAGTGATGTTTTCTTCTGTACCTTTATTTTTCCAAAATAGCAACTCAAGAAACTGTACTACTTCATTTATTCATATTTGTGAAATTCTGTAGCATTATAACTAATTTTATTTCTTTTTAATATTGAGACACAAACTCGACTGTCATCCAGTACTTATTTCCTACAGATATATAGAACCAAACCAAAACCAAATCCATTGCCATCAAGTTGATACCGAGCCTTCACTTAAAATATTTCCCGCTTATTTATACCTTGATAATAAAAGTTACCCTCTGACAAGGACTTGAGAAACATGCAAATAAAATCAGGATCTGTTTACTGCATGATCCTGGTGTAACCCATATGCTGACGGCTCAGCTTCAGTCTCAATTGTTTCTCTGTTTTAACCTTAAAGCCAGACTCAGTACACCTTCATCTTCTCCAGAATATCCATCCACTCGTGCCAAAGGCATCAGTGGGCACAGTAGATGTTACTGAAATTTTGGAGAGGTTTGACTTATTGAACACTCCCCAACAGACAACAATATATATCAATTGCCATTCTCCATTTCTAGGCCATGCCACCACCAAGGGTCCCCACACCTAACCTTCTCTTGTGCCCCCCCAGTCTCTCCCACCCTTCCTCTCCCCGTGGAAAATGACTTCTTCTCTGCCAGAACTCTGGGCATCTGTCCTCAGCTCTCATTTATCAAAGCAATGCCAACATGGTTAAGAGTGAACTCTAGAACTTCGCAGCCTCCAGTCAAATCCCAGCTCTCCACTTACTATGTGATACTGGCCAAGTTATTTAACCGCTCTGTGGCTCGCTTTCCTCATCATTAAAATAGGGATTAAAGTAGAACCTACCTCTAGAGCTAGTATAAGGATTAAATAAGTAAATACAGGCAGTCCCTGGGTTATGAATACCCAGCTTATATACAGCATGTAGTTATGAACCAACCCCCGTAAAGCCTATTATATTAAAAATTCAAGGTACATACAATGGTTCATAATAACAAACTTTTCAACACACATCAAAACATTATTATTATTGTTGTATTATATGTTAAAGAAGTTTTAGTGTATCTGGAAGTGTTTCTTTGATGTTTTTATGCATAAAATGTTACACTACATATTATATACTAAGACAAACATTTGACTAACTGATGTTAGATACGAACCATACCTAATTGTTCCGACTTACATACAAATTCAACTTAAAGACAGATTTAGGAACAGAACTCGTTCGTAATCCGGGAACTTCATGTATATATAAAACATTTAGAATAGTGCCCATCACATAGTAAATGCTCGTAAGTATTAACTATTATTATGTCAAATCATTTCTCCAGCAACAACTAGGAAGAAAATTTTTATCCTTATTATTACTTGATGAACAATTAAATTACCTTTCATCACAGTTTTACTTAGACATATGTGGTTTCTTCCTTGTATCTTTTTATCCCTTCCACCCCAACTCACCTTTAAAGAAGAAATTTCAATCATTTTTTCTCCCAAATACCAAGTGTCCTGTGCCTGCAACTTGCTTTCCTGTTGCTACCCCATAGGTTGTTTTTTTGTTAGTAACCAAGGACCTGATTAACTGAGCGTAAGATTCTTTCTCAAATGCATGAATTTTCTACCTATTGGCATTATGGATATTGCTGTACAATATGTCTTGGGAAATGATAAGGTAAGAGTATATTTCATAAGACTTCACAGCCTTTACATTGGTTAGTATATCCATTGTGATAACTTTCCTGACATTGTGAAATGAATATTTTATAGAAATAAAAATAAATCTTTAAAATCCTAAATTTCTTTGACCAACTCTAGGCTAGCTGTTGAAGTACAAGAGAATTCTAGAGCACACCAATACACCACCCAAATCTTTTTCAGCTATAAATTCATAACATTTAAGGAGCTGTCGGTGATAATTAAAGTATTTCTCATCTAGTTCTAGGAGTTCTGCCAATACCGGGGATTACTGAGCAATATCGCCCATTATTTACTACCAGTGATCTATTTTAACAACAAAATATTCAGGCAACCATTACAAGATTAAATATATATGTTTGAAAAAATCTTTATTTCAAAATATCCATTAAATATTTTGATGTCTCTTCTGAGAGGCCACATAAAAGAAACATATGCATTTTATTATAATTACTACTTCGGAATAATTTGTGGTTTGGAGATAATTTGGGACCAAAATTATTTTTGTTCATTCAAGTTACTAACTTCCACCTTCTAAATATGCAGCCTTGGACAAGTTTCTAAACCTTTCAGGGTCTAACCTTCTTAATTTAAAAATTGGATGAGTTCTAATTCCTATCTGGTTCTGAGTCTGTATGTATGATTAAAGAATATACAGAAACAACAAATATTTTATCTTTTTAAGTCTTTTCAATATTTACATCTTTGAATATATTTTTATGTGCCAGAACTTATTTTTGAATATATTTTTTATTGAATTTTTCTGTCTTTTTTTCAGTTGTTACCAATTATTATAGCTCAGCTTGGAGCCCAGGTAAGATTACTTTTTTAATATGATATTGACTTTAAATCACCTCAGCATGAAATATTTATCTTGCCTCAATTTACCAGATATTTACAAAGTTTCCTGTTTAATTTTGATTCTATAAATACTGTAATAACAAGAGCTAACAATTATTGAGCACCTACTACTTGTCAAATACTATTCTAAAAGTACTTTACCATATTATCTAATTTAATCTTCACAACTTTTTGTGGATAATATTTTTATTTTCAATTTGAAGATTTGTAACTGGAGATATTTACAGTCAAACAGTTAGTAAATGTCACAGATGAAGCAACCAGTCAACCCTTTAAACCAAGCTGTTAAGAAAGAAATGAGTTAATAGGATTAATTTAATGACTCTTGGGATTTATTTTTTAATCGTCAATATATTTTTTAACTGTATGTGTTTTCCCTAGAAGTGTTACACATTTTCTGTCCCCTCTCATTTATCTTTAAGAAAGGTCATTCTTGAGATCATTGATAAAATTACCAAGGTCCAAGATCAAATATCTTTATCAGATGACAGCTTTTACTTCTGAAAACAGAATCACATGTAAGATTCATGTCAACTCCTAATTCTACATGTAGGAACACATCCCAAGAAAATGAAAAGGTTTATATACAAATGTATCATCAAAATAATATTTATAGTAGAGGAAAATATTGTGTGCAACTTAAATTTACAGCAAAAGGAAAATGGTTAAGTAAACTGTGCATCGTAAGAGCAAATACCATAGGGCCATTCAAAATTACATGCATTAAAATTCTCAATAATGTGGTGAAATGATTGTTGTGTAATCTTAAAAGAAAAGACAAAACACAAAATGGTATAAATAACATGAGTTCTATTATGTATGTAAAAAAGAAATGTGTGGAAAACATCTGAAGAAAATACATCAAACTCTGCATGGTGGGCTTGTGGCTTTTAGTTTTGCTCTTCATTGCTTTCTGTATTCTTGAAGTTTCCTATGATATGCATACATTATTTAATAATCAGAAAACATAACATTTTTAAAAGGCATCTGACCTCACACCACTCGGGTATATATGTTAACAGTCCAGTATCATATGTTGACTTGAATTTTGTGATACAGCTCACAAAGGAAGTTTAAGATATTGTGGAAAATGCAAAATCTCTTTTTATAAACCATGGAAGTATTTAAATTTTTAAGTTATATGATACATATCTTGCCTATAGTATGTTAAAATATCTCTAATATCTCGTATTTCTCATTTTGCTTCTAGGGTGTTATCCTAAGCTCAGAGGAATTGGTAAAAAAAAAAAAAAATTACTAACATTTCAAATTATTTTCACTTGTACCACAATTCTGTTTTCCGTCCTCACATAGCCCCTCTTGACCACAAACCCTGAATTTGGTGCACGTTACGATAGACTGACCCTTTTTATATGTCCTAGCATTAGAGTATCCTGTCTCTAAACTGGGCATTGCATCATCCTTCTCCAGCTACTTTCCCATTAACGTGACTTAACTTTTTTCCATATATTGCTGTCAGAATCAGTTCATAATCTTTAAACTTCATATTGATTAAAATTCAGAATTCTAAAATATTGAAATGTATACAGATGTAGAATAATAATATAAATATTGATACTTCTTACAGAAAAGATTCATTCTCTTGAGTTGGAGTTTTCATTTTTAGGAGAAAATATGTTCTTTTTCTAGTATCTGATAGTGATTAATCCACTCTTTCCTATATGCATATAAATAACTAAAGGGCCAAAGCTAAATAAAACTTATCTTACCATTATTGGTCACTTCTATGCATTCCCTCATTTTTAGGGGAAATAGCTTGAATTAACATGGTATCTAAATATGACAACAGAACTAAAGTATTGAAGAAATATCTAAGAGCACAGTTTTTAAACAATCTTTTATTATGAAAAAGAGATTTGATAGATTTTCCATAAATAATAATCAAGTAATGGACCTAGTGGCTGCTTTGCTAACATTGGTTCATTAACACCCACATCTACCAGTTTATTAAGCTTCTTTTATATAATAAAACCAAAAAACCAAACTCATTGCCATCGAGTCAATTCTGACTCATAGCAACCCTATAGGACAGAGTAGAATGGCCCCATAGGGTTTCCAAAGAGTGGCTGGTAGATTCGAACAGCAATCTTTTGGTTAGCAGCCAATCTCTTAACCATTGCACCACCAGAGCTGCTTTATATAATAAGCATCTTAGCAAATCTTTTACGTGCATTACCTTTAACCTTCACCGAACTACATAGCAGAGATTTTTAACTCAGCTTTACAGACAAACTGCGGCTCAGAGAGCTTAAGGAATTTAGACCCCAAAAACAGTAAAAGAGTGGATTCAGATGCATAACCATTGTTCCATCCATTATATAAGTGGTTTTCAAACTTTTTTTAGTACAACCCACAGTAACAACTACATTTTCATGCAACTTAATACACACGCACACACAAACACATACAAGTTCGAGAAAAAATATCTTTACTGTGTGAAATGCATTCTAGTAATTTATAGTCTCTTTATTTTTAATGATGGTCATCACCCACTTTTTTAATTTCAAAACTGTAGTTATCACACCACTGCTTTGAAAAATTCTGCATTCTACTTGTCTTTCATCCAGCATAAGTCTAATTCTGGTTTCAGTACCTCTTAAACCTAAAACAGGGCTTCCCAAACTTCAGATTGGACCACCAAAGCACCATCCTTTGGAGTACTAGTTAAAAATGCAGATCGCTGGGTCCTGCTCCAGACCTGCTCATCAGAATCTCTAGCAATGGAGCCTGGGAATCTGCCTTTTTAACAAATTACTCAGATGGTTCTTATGCAAACTAAAATTTAAGAACCACATGCGAGGAAATGGATCTAAATCTTAATTATGGGCCCTCAACACTTTTTACTGTATGAGAACACAATCAATAGTGTTAATCCCAGAGAACTGGCTCCTGCCTGTACTCTCTCCACACCCAACTGATATCAAATTATTTCATCTTAAGAGGAACTGTTCACAGTAATATTTTTCCAGGAAAAAAAAAAAGTGTAGGCAGCAATAGCATTCATTCATTTAAAAAAAAAAAACAAACCCATTGCCATTGAGTCAATTCTGACTCATAGCAACCCTATAGGACAGAGTAGAACTGCCCCATAGGGTTTCCAAGGCTGTAATCTTTACGAAAGCAGACTGCCACATATTTCTCCCTTGGAGCAGCTGGTGGGTTCAAATCGCCTACCTCTCAGTTAGCAGCTGAGCACTTTAACCATTGTGCCATGTGCAAATCATTGATAGTCCAGTAGAGAGGAATTCCTTAAGTAACCTCAAGGAATGCACAGGTGGCCAAATTGCCGAGAGAAATATATTTCTGACTCAATAGTTCAATGCTTTTGAAAAATACACCGAAAAAAACTTGGAGGAATACAAGCTATGAGGAAGAAGACTGATTAATCTACTTGAATTAGTTTTTCCATTAATATTTAATCCCCTTTATTACTTTTTTTATGGACAATTCTTATGGGCAAAAGAAAGGCTGTGGTTTAGGTAAATAACAGAGCTCACCACCATAATTTTATGGATTTTTTGCCTTAGTTCTATTTACAGATATACCTGATAATAGCAAATTATGGATTATTCCTTTTCCTGTGACTAGCTTGATTTTTGCTTCCCTTTTCTGAAAGTGATTCAACACAGCAAGGACTCCCAATAATGAAACCAGCATCAGACTTGGGTCAAGAGAAGGAAGCATTTCCTCTGAGGAATGCCAAACCTTTGTTGCTTTCTCTGACTTTACCCCTCTCATCCTGCTCTTCCTACACAAAATTGTTACCCTCAGAGGAGAAAATGTGGGTTGATCAGCCTTAAGTGTGCTCCTTTTGACTTTGTTTTCTGTTTCACTCCTTCATTATAGGCAGTGGCCCCACAAATCTTCGCAGGTCTCCTCATCCAGCCCTTGTTCCCGGGAGCCATCCTGCCTACCAGTCAGGCAGGGGCTACTCCAGAGGTCCAGGAGGGAATCCTTCCTGCAGGACAAGCAGGAGTAAATCCTGCCATCCAGAGAACCCCAGAAGGTCACCTCCCTACTCCCAGTGGCACAGATGATATGTATGGAGTGACCACCCCTTCTGGCCTCCAAAGGGGCATGCATACCACTGAGGAAACCACCACAGATTCACCAGATGGTAAGTTCTCCGAGGCTGGAAAATGCCCAGGTCCATGAAAATCATTTGAGGAGTAAGACAGGAGAGTGTTTTGTCTTGCCTTAACAAATACAGATCCAAAGAAAATGAGGAAGCCCTTCTACCCATTCACAGTTGATTCCAGCAACAAGAGAGAATGTTTTAACTGAGCTCTAGGTTTGAGGATGTGCCACCAACTCTACTGTATTAACCCTGAAAAAAAAGATACTTAGTTGCTGGCATAACATACTTTCCATATTAGGTCAAAGCAGGAAATATTTGGAAACAGACTGTTCTCTTCCCATTCCCTTCCCCCTCAACAGTGGCCCATAGCAGATGCAGTTAATCAATTATAATATTCTTTTTCACTCACTGATCCTGGATGAGCCTCAGAACCTTCTTAATGTAGTGCTACCACCAGGCACTAGTAATAGACTGGAGTTAGCCCAGTAGGTGAACTAGAACTTTATGCCAATATCCTCAGATGAGCCTAATAAAGTATTGCAAAAATAAGCTCTTCTAGCACCAACAAGCAAAGATAATCATTTTACCTGGGAGGAGTCTAAAACCAAGTATCTTTGGAAATGACAAAAAAAAAAAAGTCTTGATATTTCTGCTCAGGAGGGGGACTTTGATCTTAAGTCAAAACGTAAAAATTAAATATGCTTTTATCTGCATTTAAAAGGGGTTTTATTTTCTTCCAGGAATTCAGTGAGCTGTTTATACTGTTTTCAACTAAACCACCACTAAGATTTAGTGATACATGTGAATCTTTTTCATTGACTTTATTATGGAATAGTTTGAGATACACTGAAGAATATCAGAAGATAGTAATACTTATTTTACCTGAAAACTTTCTTGAAATTTCAGAAAATATATTCTACTAGAGAGTACAGATTTCCAGAAAATGTAACCAAATGGAAAAATTTGTCTTTGAAATATAATAGTATGCCGCCTCTGGCCTGAAAGACATATATATTAAAAAGCATTTTGAAAACTCACTCTTTTTCTTCTTTGGGGATGGAAGAAAATTGGGCGCTTCCAGAAACTACACTGTCTCAAGACACTTAAATGGTAATCTATATATAGGGCTTTCTTTGAAAGTAGGGAGCACTGTGGTCGGGGAAGGGACACCCAGCCATGTGAGGACAAGTTCAGATTTTCTCACAACCACCTATATCCCACTGTCTCCTAGAAAGCCACAGATTTAATTTTCAACAAGCAAAGTATTTTTGATCATCTAAAACATACAGTAACAACAAAGAATTGTAAATCACATTGGCTGTCCTCAAGTCGCTTATATTGAGAGCCAGAGATTAGGGCATTTGATGTTTCATTTTGGTATGTTTGAGAGTGGAAGATGACACCGATAAAAGTAATCACAAAAGCAAACCAAGGTGATACTCTTTCTCCACACACCTCAAAGGCAGAATTTTATCTAATTTAAACTTATAACCCAGACCACTGCAATTTGTTCATAGTGGGAGGGGTCAGGAGAAATTAATGCAAATGAAAGAAGATATGGACAGGGTTAATAACATTTCTCACTATATTCAATTCAGCCCCATCAGTATGGAACAAAATCCAAATATGCACCCATGAAATACATTCCATGTCAAGTTTTCAGTTGGTTGAAGATTTACTTGTGGAAGAAGCCATAGCGTTTCTGTCTTAGTTAGACTTCTAGTGCTGCTATAATAGAAATACCACAAGTAGATGGCATTAACAAACAGTAGTTTACTCTCACAGTTTAGGAGGCTAGAAGTCCAAATTCAGGGCACTGGCTTTAGAGGAAGGCTTTCTGTCTCTGTCAGCTCTGAGGGAAGGTCCTTGTCATCAATCTTCCCTGAGTTTAGGGGCTTCTCATTGCAGGGACCCCAGTTCGGAAGGACACACTCCACTCCCAGCACTTCTTTCTTGATGGTATGGGGTCTTTTCCCTCTCTGTTTGATTCTCTCTTTTACATCTCAGAAGAGATTTACTAAAGATACAAACTAATCCTGTAGATTGGGTTCTGCCTCATTAACATAACTGCCTCTAATCCTGCCTCATTAACATCATAGAGGTTAGGATTTACAACACATAGGATAATCACATCAGATCACAAAATGGTGGACAACCACACAATACTGGGAATCATGGCCTAGCCAACTTGACATACATTTTTTTAGGGGACACAACTCAATCCATAACAGCTGCATGTTTTCAAAATCTGAATGGCACATTTATGAATTGTCAAGGTATTTATGAACAAATGAGAGTAAATTAGTATTCAATTTTCCAGAAATATTTTGGCAGTAATTAGTATCATGAGATACTAATTAAAACTGCTATCAAAACATTTCGTAGGTAACCCTTTCTCAAAAGCAACATTCTTTCTGAGCTTGATTTTTCTTGTCTGTATAATGGGGCAAAAATCTCTTTCACAGATATCCCACAAGGTTAAGATGATGATCAAACTAGATAATAACATGAAATACATGAAAGTGTTTTTTCCAAACGCCAAACCACTATAGAATTTAATTTTGTTTATTATCAATACCCTTCAAACCAACTGAGATTATCTGTCCTTCTGGCCCCATATATTTCTTCCTGGGCTCCCACATACGTATCTCCATGACAGCACTAACATGTTACACTTTGATTTATATCAATACACTTAACTATTGATTTATATGTGTGATTACAAGCTAAACTATTTAGACCAGGTGTCTTCCAACTGGGGTATACTACTGGGAGGTCCTGAAGACTTTCCAAGGGGTACAGCAAACAGACTGCTTTAAGGACTCAATTTCCAGATCGTCAATTTCCATATATGTAATTTCCTAAGATGACACAACCTAGCTTGCTGAAAGTGAAGAGGATTTGAAGCATTTACTGATGAAGATCAAAGACTTTAGCATGGATTACACTTCAACATAAAGAAAACACCCCGCAACTGGACCAATAAGCAGTTATCATGATAAGCAGAAAAGATTGAAGTTGTCAAGGATTTCATTTTACTTGGATCCACAATCAACGCCCACAGAAGCAGCAGTCAAGAAATCAAATCATGCATTGCACTGGGCAAATCTGCTGCAAAAGAGCTCTTTCAAGTATTAAAAAGCAAAGATGTCACTTTAAGAACTAAGGTGCACCTGACCCAAGCCATGGTATTTTCAACCATGTCATATGGGAAAGCTGGACAATGAATAAAGAAGGCAGAAGAGGAATTGATACCTTTGAATTATGGTATTGACAAAAAATATTGAATATGCCATGGACTGCCAGAAGAATAAACAAATCTGCCTTGGAAGAAGTACAGCCAGAATGCTCCTTAGAAGCAAGGAAGGGGAGACTTCATCTCATGCACTTTGGACATGTTACCAGGAGGGACCAGTCCCTGGAGGAAGACATCATGCTTGGCAAAGTAGAGGGTCAGCAAAAGAGAGGAAAACCATCAACAAGATGAATTGACACAGTGGCAGCAACAATGGGCTCAGGCACAGCAAAGACTGTGAGGATGGTGCAGGACAGGCAGTGTTTTGTTCTGTTGTACATAAGGTCGCTATGAGTTGGAACCAACGGCACCTAATGACAACAACAACAAAGACAGATCTGCCCTACAACATGTTCTCCTTCCCCATCTCCTCTTTCTCAGGCACTCTTTTCCCACATTACAAGAGAAAGACCTAAGTCTCCTCCATCATTCATCTTACTGTGGAAAGCTTCTCTGTTAGAGAAAACCTCCAGGGCAAAAAAACAAATGGAAAATTTGAAATATTGGTGTTCACATTGAGAATGCTAATGGCCTTTTACAATGCAGGTAGTTTCTCGTTCTTAGCTGTCAACAAAGTTAAATGAGGACCTAATGAAATTGTCAGGTGATTCCTCATTAAAAATAATTTTTGATGGTAAATCACCATGGAATTTTCAACATATAATTGGGGAAGAGATTTTAAAATATACATATGTGATATTGCTCAAAGCTGATAAAGTTTGATCTGAGGATCCTCAGGGGTCCCTGAGATCCTTTCAATGGGCCAGAAAGATAAAAACTTCTTTAAAATAATACCAAGATTTTATTTCCTTTTTCATTCTCACTCTCTAAAGAGTGTACGGTGGAGTTTTCCAGCAGCTGCATATGTGATACTGTCACAGACACAAAATTAAATACAGAAGCAGATATGAGGATCCTATTATCGTCTATTAAAGTCAGACATTAAAGACACTTCAAAAATAAAACAATTCTTCTCACTCAATTTTACCAATTAAATTAAGCATTCTTCTCCCCAAAATTTTTAAAATATAGTTACTTTTCTTTTAAAAATACATTATTTACAGTAACATATAATGGGTTTGTTGTTATTTTTAATGAATTAATAATTAAATATTTTTAATTTCTCAATTTTAATTTTTGATTCATAAAGATTGATAGCTACAACCCACATAAACAAAAGCAAAATTACCATCAACACAGCAGGATGGCCTGAAGTGCTCCAGTGGCAAAATTCCTACATGTATTAACTTATTAAGCCAATGTTTATAGCTTGAGAGTAACTTGAAAGTATCATGAGAAGTACAGTGCTTTATCTTTAAATTTCAGAGAAATGTAACACTCCACTCCTAAAATATCTATATTTGTTTTAATATACAAATTATGTTTTGAATTACTTGCCGTCAAGTAAATTCATCCTATAAGAAAACATGCTGTTCCTTGCCCAACAATACATTGGAATGCATAAAATAGACGTTCTCATTGTTTATTGTACTGCTACAGGTTTGTGACCTACAAACAGTGATTCTGATAAAATCTATTTCACTCAGTTTTCACCAAAAAAAAAAAAAAAACATGGTGAATTTATAATTGTATATGATGAAATATCAAATACACCCCTGACAGAAGAGAACTATCCTTTAAATGAGGCTTCAATGAAAACTGAAACCTCTGCTACCAGTTTTACCCTTCTGATCATTGGGAGAATTTTCCACAGGCTAGTTTCTGGTTCCAACATTATGCAACTTTTTTCTCTTCCATTAACCACACACTTCTGCCACCAGG